AAAGAAGGAGAAACGGGAATATGATGGTCATGGGGTACAAAGTGCCAATCGCACACCGCAGCTCAAATCCAGAGCTGTACTATACAGTATGGTTCCAGTCGCTAACGACTGTTGCAGGCTTAAGACTTGCTAAGCAGGTGAATCTTATTGGGTATTTATACCACCAAAGGGGGAGATATTAAAGAGGATGGGGGAAAGCTTTGGGAGGCGATGAATATGTTTATGTCAGTGGTCAGTGGTGGTGGCTCTGGTTTCAGAAAGACCTCCTTATGCCCAAATTCATCAAGTCCTGCAAATTAAATACGTGAAGGTATTTATGTGTCCACTATCACACCATGTTCTATGTGTGTTTCCCAGAACACGACTAATTTGACACAGATACTCAAAAGATCTGCTATTTTGAGATTTCTTTGTTTTTGTATGGTTTGGTTTGGTTTTAAGCAACCTTCTACTGTGCTTTATGGAAGGACTGCAATGTAAGTGATACTCATTCCTGCCTTCCAGAAGGCTCAGACCTCAAGAAGGGAAGCAGTAAACACTCAGCAGTGCCACCTGCAGTTTGTAGGGGTGGGTGGCGAAGGGGATTGGTGGAAGTTTCCTTTTTCACAAAGTACTCTTTGAACCTGGTCTTGAAATGCTAAAAGATGTGTGCAGGGTTTTCCCAGAGCAAGAAGACAAGGCCCAGCTCAGGAGGAGGTCAGGTCCACTGGAGTCACTGAGAACCTAAAGGAACTTGGGATTGGTAGCACACACCTTTAATCCCAGGAGCCTAGGGAAGATCTCTGTGAGTTTGAAGCCAGAATGGTCTACATACAGGCCAGCCAGACCTACATAGCAAGACCTTGTCTAAAAAATAAAAATAAATGAGCATCAAGGACCTCACACACTTGATTGCAGATGAAGTGCTTTAGACTTCAAAGCAGCTTCCCTCCTCCATCATTCCTTCTCTGTGTGTGTAACTAAGACAGCTGACAGCGGAAGTTCTCACCTTGTCCACCGCAGAGGTCGTCATGAACACTCACCACAGCAGGCCACCCCTCTCATCAAGATGGGGCCAGCACTGTCAGCAGCCAAGGGCCCTCAGTCTGTTTGAGGACCCTGTTCTCCGGCTTTGTGAATCATGGCCGGCCTAAGCTTAGAAAAAGGAGAGGAGAAAAATAAGAGGGGACTGCCACCTTCCCCCACCCAAGAACCGTCCATGACCCTCAAAGCTCTGTAAGTTGGAATTTAACGCAGCTAGCGTTAGCCTTTGCAATAGTGACGACCAGCTGCTCCTGAGAATTTATGTATTAAAGCAAGGGCACTCTTCTGGGATACTGCACGGTCCTCACCATCCTCTGCTGCGACACTGGAGACAAATGGCCTTCCCAGGGCCTGACTTGGATGCAGTGCAGCACTCCTAATATCCAGGAATACGCCGCTCCTAGCCAAGAGAGGAAGATGTCGGAATGCGTTTCCAGCCAGGGTAGTAAGGACCCCAGTGACAGCCAATAACATTTAAACCCTAATACAAACTAATTCAATAATTGAATTAATTTCATGCATTCCGAGTGCATATCATCATAGGCGGGTTACTTGACACACTGCCTAATTACCTAAAGGTAATTGAGGTTTTTCTCCTGTAAATATGCAACCCTGAATCATTAATGCAGCCCCAGAAAATTACCTTCATTTTAAAAAGTTTTAATTACCCGGGCCTCATTACTGACAGCCGCGGATTCCAGATCATTCTCAAGCATCCCATACTACCTTTTCTCTGGCCAGAGCCTGCCGTTCTGGCAGGAAGCTGTTTGGGAAGGTGGTAAGCTGAGAAAGACAATGCGACAATCATTTCTGTAGTGTTTTATTTGTGGGTAAAACTTGAGAGGACTCAGAACAGACTGTGGTGTCCATACAGCAACACAGAACGTGTCAGTCGCAAGATAAGCACCCGGTTTACATCTAAATGAGTCTCTCAGGGAGCCAACAACTCTTGAGCAGAATGGGAGGGGGCAGAGGCAGGCACGGGGCTGGTTATTTCTTTAAAACCATCTCCCTTGAGCCCCAGAGAATGCTGGGAGAGAGTCAGCAGCATACTGTGAAGAATAGAACAAAGCATGTATTCTGGGAGTCAGAACCATATCGGTGTCCTGACTTTGCTGGCAACACTCTGACAACTCCCTCAGCATCCTGAGCATGGTGGTGTCTGTTCCCTTCTACAAGTGTCACGGAATTAGCAGCCTCATCAGGCTAAAGTAAGGAGGCAAGCAAGATGTTTTATAAAAAACCATCTATGAATGTGTCCCTTGCTCTTGTGCTCGTCCCCCTAAGACTCAGTTCCTGTGTTCAGCTTCATGGAAGCCAGATGTCTCTTGAAATTGTTGGCAAGGGCCCATCCTCCAAATTTCCATCCTACGCAGTGCCTCTGGCGCACAGACACAGGACAGAATATTTGCCCCTCTTCAATTGCGTCATCCTGGCGCCAGCTCTGCCTTTCTCCTGTTGGGGGAATTTTGAATGTTTGTATCAGCCTCCTATCGAATTAAATATCCTTCACCGTTTCATGTCATTGAAAAATCTGCTAAGTGTTTCTCCTATGTCTACTTTAATGCCATTAATAAAAAAAAAAAAAGTTGAATGAAGCAGAATCCAGGGCCACGGCCCTGTGATATTCAATCAGTGGTCCCCCTACAGGTTGTGACAGAGCCATCAATCAAACCTCTTGGGTGCCGCTGTACCCCCAGCTGTGAATCCACTTAATTCTTCACTCACAGAGCCCACCTGTGTCTAGATAATGGAAGACTCCGTCAAGTGCTTTATCGGAAGCAAAGACACCATATCTCTGCCCTTCACCCTGTCTGTCGACTTCATCCTAATAACTCTGTCAGGGGGAAGGAAAAAAGGAAATTAACATAGTTCAGCAACACTTATTTTTAATGAGATCATTGAAATTTTGAACGGTGCGTGGCTGGTGATGCAGAGCTGTTGGCAGGGAACAGATTCGTGGCCAGCCATGGAGCTGCCGTGGAGCGGCCATGGCATTGTAACAATGAACCTGCTAAGTTCTAGGAGGGGGCCCAGCGCATCCAGTTCAGCAGCTGAGTTTAATCAAAACATCAAGTGAAGTTTGCTGTCCGTCAAGACCCCTTTTTCTCCAGACACAGTGCTAAGTCTCGTTGAATTCTGGTTTTCCCCAAGCAATAAGTACTGCTTTTTAACACCTTCATTTTGAATGAGTTTGGATAATGCTGGAAGAGTTTAATCCATTGACCCAAAATCATATATACCAGAAGCATGACTCACACCCAAGTCACCATGACTCCAAGACCTGCCCTGAATAACTGTGCCCTCGCTGTGCCGCAGGGGTGTTGGTCTCATTTGACTGAAGAGGGAACAAGAGCATGGCATGCCTCCCAGTCTATCAGTGTATGGTAGGAGGATTGAACACTGTGACCAAAGACTCCAACACAGATCATCTTCAATATGTCCTTCCCTGCTGTGTGGTACCCAGAAGACTGACTTAGCGATGCTGCTTGTTAGCACAGTGAACACTGTAGAAAAGGAATTCCTAAAGGTCGTTTGGTTTGGGATCAACCTGACCCCTGACAAAATAGTCTCTGTATTATGAGAGGCAAGAAGCCTGAGGTTGTCACTAGCAACCGTAGCAAGGCTGGGTCTCCTCATTGGCTTTCCGGGCATCTCCCTCCATCCCACTTCCCCTCCCTGCCCTGACACATGCTTCCTGTGCTTAGGTGGATTAAGTTGTGGTCAGTCTTCCACCCTCTTCAGTGACTCTTCTTGGACTAGAAAGTCACAGTGACTATATTTACTCTATCCTAAGACTGGAGGGTCTCATTATCACCACCTGTTACCCTAAAGAGAGAGCCACGTTGACCTCAGAGATCACTGTATCCTGCAAACATACACACTTAGAAAGCATCAGCATTGTTACCAAAGTACATTGGCTTGGAAGATTTACACCCTCAGGAATATGCTCATATACAAGTAATCAGTGCTAATTTATTGTACACATATAACAAGAAATATGCTTCCCATCCATTAGCCTCCAGCTAAACAGCCCAGGTCCAGAGCAAAGCTGCCCTCTAGTTCACGGTTCCCTTTATTCCCTTAAGATGTACCGAACATGCTATAGCTTGGATTGCATCCAACTGACAAGTGGTATATTTCAGAATTACCGAGGTGTCTCTGGAGAAGCCCGAATTACACCTTTGAGAAATGACCTCATTAATACTGTCCTTTCTGAATACTATATACATTCTCCCAGTATTTTTCCCTAACAACTTTATTAAGCAACTTAATTACAAATCATAAAATCACCGTTTAAACTCTACATTTCGATACGTCTCGGTCAACATACTTAGCATCACCAAAAAGCTTCTGGAAGTCAGTGGCTGCACCCATTTCTACACCAGGCCACTGGGTCACCATTTGTTACTGATGTGTTTACGGGTTGATGGGATATTAATCTCTTTACAGTTCTCAGCTGTTCTGAAAAATGTCACTCAGATGTTTATGTGCACGTCTTTGTAGGGACATGTTTCCATTTCTCTTGTGTGAGCTCGCTGGGCCACATTTTTCTGAAAGCAACTGTGGTCCTTTATATTCCAACTGGCCCTGTGTGGGCTCCCGGATTTACCAGTGCTGGGCCTTGTCTGACATTTTTATTTCAGTCTTTCTGGCGGCTACTTAGTGATCCCCCCGGATTTTGTTACTCTGTGACTATCCAGGAGATGAAAGTGTTGTGGGATGACAGAGGGGTTGATGCAAGAAAGGGGGTTATAAGAAAGCCATCACTGATGTTCCCCTATGGGTCCTTTCCCATCTTGAACTTTTCCTCGGGACTGACAACATCTACTTAATGTAACATATAATGGGTTAATATAAGCTACAAGAGCTAATAAGTAGCCTGAGCTAATGGGCCAATCAGTTTTATAACTTATGGAGATCTCTGTATGATTTTCTTTGGGACTTGCTGGCTGTGGAGTACTGGGCGGGACAGAAACCCCAACAAGCTGGCCTTCCATGTTACACTTAAGAGCACATTTTTGTTGAACCCTTATATTCTTTTCCCCAACATATATGGACTGAATATGTGAGTGCCAAATCCTAGCAAGCAGTAGTGTATGGGCTAAGTCCAATCCTGGGATATGTTTCTAGAGCTTTTACTTCTAGCTACCATTAGATAGATTTTTATCTCCTCCTACATCAGATTCTTTTTATCAGAGCCTCTGACAAGAAAAGAAATTTACAGGATTGAGTTCACTGCCCCCTTTCACTGTTCTGTCTCTGATGGAAGGCATTATATGCCACTAAGGTTCCTGAAGAGCGAGAAGGCAAAGAAGAAAAGACCATTCATAAGCCAAAAATTGAATAAACCGCTCCTCGCTTACCGGGAATTGTCGCTTGAAGATTCGGTTTCTCTTAAAAGCCATGCTTTGCCAATATGAGTGTATTCTCACCTTTTGTATATTTCAGTTCATCTTGTACATGCAAACATCGGCTAATGAGCGCTGTTGACAATCATTTTGATTTTCAAACTGAGAGAGCCGGTCGTACTCTACAGTTGATCCCAGCAAGTTGGGAAATGCCCGAAGTAGCTGTAAAACCTCGCATGGTTAACAAACCTAGGCAAATCAGTTGTCTCTCTGCTTTCTGAGAGACATTAACAAAAGCACAGAGCGATTTGCTTTCAAATGCCATCAGCGCGTGTAAACAACAGCCTTTGGGGTGGAGCATGACACCGGTCCACTCTCTATTTAAACTAGTTTTTTCTTGTAGTAACCACAGTGTTTGACTTTTCCCGGGGCAGCCCAGTTTTTCCCTACGAAAAGCTAACTTGCCGAAGGTGTACTTAAAAGTAACTTACAGGGAAATTAGGAACTGATTGGCTGGTTTGTTGTGGGTTCTTCTTCATCTTCTAGAGCCCTGTTTATGGTAAAATATAATCAGAAAATTAGTACCTTCATCAAGAGGTAATTCAGGGAGCTTTACAAATAAACCTGAGATCCTCATTGATTACAAAGAAGGCTTTGTACCTTCAGAACCCTTAAATGCTCTGAGGCAATTATTGCATTACGCTCTCTCTTTCTATGAGAAGATTATTGCATTTCCCCGTGATTAGTATTTCCTGTTTATTGAGCCCGTCTGTCTTCAGAAGCACATCCCTGTTGCTCAATCTTTGCTCTCTGCAGAGCGGTATCATTGGGACCGCCTTTCGCCTTTTCTTCCTGCGGGTTATTAGTAACTCTTGCCATCTGTCCTACAAACTGCTATTGGGTAGCTGCTTAGTAGGTGTGGTCTTGAATGGTAATGAACAAGGAAATCTCGAGCTTGGGTTTTGTAGATGAAAGAGTAGAAGTCAGGAGGAGATAGAGCGGCGCCAGGTGAAGAAGACTTGCCTCTCTTCCTGTGAGGAGACTGGATGGAATTAAGGGGCCAGAGCCTAAGAGTAGAGAATTCTCAAGAGCAGAAAGGGAGGGACTAAGATAATGGGTGTTTTCTTCTTTTCCTCTTTGTTTTTGGTTTTGTCTTGCCTGCTTTACTAGTCTACCTTGGAAGGGATCAGAGTTGAGGCCTTAGGGTCCACCTAGGAGATGTATTGTGTTCTAGATGCTGCGAAAGGCCCTAGGGCCCAAACTATGTGTGATTTCCCAAAGTTTATAGTGCACTTTTGGTCAGGTAAGATGTGTGTGTGTGTGTGTGTGTGTGTGAGAGAGAGAGAGAGACAGACAGACAGACAGACAGACAGACAGACAGACAGAGACAGAGACACACACAGAGAGAGACAGACAGACAGACAGAGAAATAGCCCTACATACTAAGACATGTATCTAGTGTAAACAACAGCCCACGAACACCATGGAAGTTCAGAAACACAGTCTTTATAATACACATTGAGGGAAGTTTAGTTGTATCTTGATTGTATCTTTGCAAGATTCTCTTAGAGCAAGAGAAGCAGGCACATTTTAGAACATGCAGAGGTGTGCATACGGGAAGCCAGGAGACTGTGAGAGAGAAATCTGGAGAAGTAAAAGGCCTAGTTCTTGATCTAAAATCTACCCAGAGAAATGCATAGCAACACACTGAAGCAACAAGGGTAATACTCAAAATATTGCTACTGGGGTTATTTAAGGAGAAGAGAGAAAGTTTTAAGTTTCCATTATACTTCAAGGGAAATCGTAGCAGAACAGAGTGCTCCAGAGTCTCTAGAGCAGCTTCCTAGTCATCTTCACCCAACCCTCTGGAGTCCATTTAGGCTGGGAAGGCTGGATAGATAGAAACATTTAGACGGATGGATGGATATGTGGGTGGATGGAGGGATGAATGAATGGATGGATGGGTGGGTGGGTGGATAGGTGGATGGATGGATGAATGAATGGATGGGTGGGTGGGTGGATAGGTGGATGGGTGGATGAATGGATGGATGGATGGATGGATGGATGAATGGATGGATAGGTGGATGGGTAGATGGGTAGATGGATGGATGGGTAGATGGATGGATGGATGGGTGGGTGGATGGGTGGGTGGATGGATGGGTGGGTGAATGGATAGATGGATGGATGGATGGACGGATGGATAGGTGGATGGGTAGATGGATGGATGGATGGGTGGGTGGATGGATGGATGGATGGATGGATGGATGGATGGATGGATGGGTGGATGGATGGGTAGGTGAATGGATAGATGGATGGATGGACAGATGGATGGACGGATAGATGGATGAATGGATGGATAGATGGATAAATGGATGGATGGATGGTTGGATGGATGGATGGATGGATGGATGGATGGATAATTGTGAGAAGAGAAATAGCTACAACACACACATATATACTTTCCCACCTCATATTTAGTGCCCTAAAACCCTGCATGATTTCTCCTCTTTGTGGCTCACAGATTATGTAACATTGTAATTGCATGTGCCAGATACCCAGTGAAAGCTCACTGAATGAGATACCTGAGCTCCACGGTGTAAAAGGCCAGGTAGCTGAGAAAACAATTCAGAATCAAACGTCACGACTTTCTGCTTCAGAAACCCCTCAGCCCCTACTCTTCCAGCTGTGTTATTGAAGTCCACGTCCTGAGAGAGAAAATGTCAGGGTCAGCAAATGGATACAAGAATCTCTGGATTTGTGGGCTCCTCAAGCACTTCTGCGGGAAGGGTACTTTCTCTCTTTGGTGGGACGTGTGCTTCCACATTTAATCTCAGTTTTAGTTCAGTACATGAGAACAAACCACTTGAACTTCCCCGTCAGAGCCCACCCTCGGCCCTCATGCATAGCAGCGCCTCGTCGGCACACCTGACACTTGGTTCAAAGAGGCCATTCAGGAAACAGACGGCTCCGGCAGACTTGCATGAGAGCTGTTCTCTCTTTAGCTGGAAACTCTCTAGAGAGAATACAGAGGATCGGTCTTCCAGACAATATACAAGAAAGGTCCAAACGCAGGAGGACACTCTTTTCTCCTTATAGATGTGAAAACCAGAAAGAAAAAGAGCACAGTCCACGGCAGCGATGACCAGAAAGCCCACCGGCTCGGCACTGCTGCGTGTCTGATCCGTAGAGGACTTAAGCTGCGTGCTCTTTGTCGCATTTGTCCGCTAAACCCAGACTCCAAAACACAGCACATGCAAGAGGTGACCCTGAAGAACGTGACGTGGGTGTGTGATTTCCCCAGGGGATGTGGTCCAGTCAGCAATGATGGGATTGAGATTTCAGCAGGACGTGCAGACAGACTGTTGCCACCTGACGTCTCTCCCTGACTCATGTGCATTCTCATGGTTTTAATTAGTATATTCCATATCGTGTCCACTCAAAACGACAGTGTAGAAGAAATGGTAGGATAAGAGTATATTTTAAAGCATGTGGAGTGTGTGATATTTAGAAAAGAAATACCAACAAGGGGATGGTTAAGGAATTAAGAAATGCTGCTAGGAACCAATATATTGAGTTACTTGAAATGTCTATTCAGACTTGGATATGGAGAAAAGTTCCTTGACTTTGATAGGAAGTGAAAATATCAAGGTAAAAGGTGACCTTACAACATGACCATGATAAAACAAAGAAGTTCTCTGAACTTCTCTTGCATCTGTCGACACTTGGTACAGCCTGTCACATATGCTAAATGTTAATAGCTTGGGGAATAACTAATATGCTTGTATTTTGTATTTTGTATTTCATAAAGTATCTAGAATGGGAAAGTAGCACTGTTATTATAATCAAAGCATTGTTTAATTTTTAAAACACAGACAAAGCGTTGCATTACACATTAAATTTAACATGTTTAATTTATATCGCATTCATTTTAAAAAGAAAAAGTCTACACATACCAACTTTTAGCGCCACTCTGACATATATTCTGATGCAAGCCATTCAGTGCAAGGAGAATGTCGTGATACTGTCTGTCTGGCAGAATTCTCGCAGCTATCCCCGGACTTACAAATGTCAGTCACATAATGTTACAGTGTTGACACCCAGCACTGATATTCTCCTACTGCCCAACCTTGGGACAGAGTTTCTGAGGCTGTCCTCTTTAATTGACAATGTAGAAAACTCCAAGAGGCCCATGGTGTTTAAACAATATACCTTGCTATGGACACAATGACCGATGTGATCATAACCGTCTTTCAAATATACAATAACATTGATCCCCTCTTCCTCTCGTTTCTGTCTTTGATTACTTACCTATCTAGATCCGTTTCCTCTTGGTCCATGTTCCTCTGCAGTCAGGACCACCTTCTCATGCACATATAATTATTTTCTTCAGTAATGGTTTGACAGTTCATCTCTTTCTGCCCAGTCTTTTCGACCTCAGAAACTCCATAAGTTGTTTCCCTTTGGTATCCTCCAAATGATTTGTAACAAAAACCTAATTGTTTGTTTGTTAGTTGAGCTGAATTGTCTCAATATCTTAAAATAACCAGATGTTTCCCTTGCTTCATCTTTTTACATTCATTGGGTCCAAAATAATGTTCACAGAATCTTGTGACATTCTCCTCTAATACATAGCTACTGTTGGAGGCTTTCAAAAGAGGGTTGGCTTGCAGATCCTAGGTGTCTGGGATTTCACTACTTCAGAGCTCCAATTACAAAGATGCCAGAAGCTATTCTCACTCAAGCCAGACCAGATTGCCTTGGTCTTTTAAACTGTCTTTTGTTGAAATATTCTGTAATTGCTCTGCCAGTTGGATGTCTCTCAATCAACCTGAGAATTTTGAAGCCAAAAGTTACATGCCTTCTCTACTATTCTGATATTAGCTAATTTGGGTTGCATCCCAGGGAATGCTGGAAAGTTCTTGCCCTTTGCTTTGCTATGAGACTTATCAAAGAAACAAGTCGTTCTAATGCTTTCGGGTGGTTGGGACTCACTAGGAGAAGCCCCCGCTTCAGTACAATCATGGCATGATCAATGGCATGGCTGCGACCAGAAGGTATGGAAGGAACAGCAGGAAGAGAAACTTGGCAAGCAGTCAGTCGTGACTGGGGGCTGGGGAACTGTTCCAAGCCTTGACACCTGTGGGCAGCATGGCCCACAGGTTCCTCAGTATTTCCCAGTCTCAGGTTTGACGTCATGCAAATGAGAATGCCTAGGTTACCTTAAGGATTGGATGAGGCATGTGTACACACTTGGCATACTTTCTAGACCTGTGCAGGCACCGTGGATGCTGCCACAGTCTTTGATTTCACGTGTGCATCGATCCTCCTGTGTTTAGAAGGGCCTTGTTTCCTTGGTATCATCCATAATCTATGGCTCTTACAATCTTTCGGTCTCCTCTTCTGCACGATTCCCTGAGTCCTGAGGGGAGGCCTTTGATGGAGACATTCCTTTCAGGGCTGAGTGACCCAAGGTCTCTCACTCTCTGCACATTGCTCAGCTCTTTATTAATTCCCATCTACTGCAGACGGAAGCCTCTCTGATGCTGATAGAGCAAAGTACTGATCTTTGAGTGCAGCAGAATGTCACTGGGGTCATTTTACTGCTTCATTCCTCTAGTGAACATTAGTATTTGGTTTTCCCCTGGGTCTCAGGCATATCTGATCTCAGGTTCTCGGCCACCTGAGCAGTATCAGGGGTGGGTTCTATCTCATAAAGTGGGCCTTAAAGCAGATCAGATCTTGGTTGGTTACTCCCATAAACTTTATGCCATTATTGCACTAGCAATGTTGCAGGCAGGACACTGTGGTAGATTGAAGGGTTTGTGACTGGATTGGTGTTTACTTTCTCCTTTGGGAGTGTGTAGTGTACCTTCCAGTACCATGAACACTAGTCAGTAGAAGTGAAGGCTCTAGGTACTGTGCCAACTCTTCTTACAACCTCCTTCCTTTCTCTGTCCCTCCTTCCCTCTCTCCTGCCCTCCCTCCCTCCCTCCCTCCCCCCCCCCCCCCCTCTCTCTGTGTGTGTGTGTGTGTGTGTGTGTGTGTGTGTTTGAGAGACAGGGAGAGAGGGAGAAAGAGAGAAAGAGGTTTCTCTCTGTGTAGCTTTCTGACCTGGAGTCAAGAATTCACTGTATAAAGTAGGCTGACCTTGAACTCGGAGTGGTTCTCCCCTTTTGTCAAGTACCAAGATTACTGGTGTGAAACCACCACACCCAGCATCATGCCCTTCCTCTTTATCTTTTCGATGACCTTGGCCATCATGGGCAACATGGGCATCATGTCCCCTTATGTTCCTGATGGAAAACTGAGGCCAGAGGAGTCAGGTCAGTTGTCCCAAACTTGAGTGTGAGAAAGGAAGCCAAACACAAGAGTGAAGCTACAGAGCTGTGGCTTAGTGTCAGTTTTTGGTTTGTTTTGTTTGTGTTTTAGAACATAAATTGAGTATCTTTATTAAAGATACCCAAAGATCATTTCTTAGCAGTAGTCAGGGGCCCAATGAAGCAGCATGAGCACTAGGTCCAATCACTTGCTGGGAAAAGAAAAAGAGGTGGGGATTGTAGGGGGATCAGGAAAAACATCTTCTAGAAGCTCTTGGCAAAGTAATAGAGAATAAGAATAAAAGGGAATAAGAGGGGGTGGAGAGATGATTCATTAGTCAAGGCACAGGCTGCTCTTCCAGGGGTTGCAGGTTTGATTCCCAGCACCCACATGATACTTCACGACCATCTGTAACTCCTTCTTCTGGCAGCCTTGGGTACCAGGTGTGCAAGTGGCACACAAATACACAAGCAGGTAAAAACGAAAACCCTACACACATCCAATAAAACAAAATGAAGTGTGTTTAGACTTGCAGACTGTCTTGGGGAAAGATGAGTGTTGTGTGTTTTCTGAGATGGAGGAATCTCTGGTCCTGGTGCTCAGAAAATGAAACAGTACAAGGATATAAGGACATTTCTCTGGATGCAGTAGGTAATGCTGCCTGTGAGTTATGAGCACAGGACTATACTTCATTAGCATATTCATAATCTGCATGGAGGATTCAGTTGGAACGCTCGTCCGTGTAGTGAAATGCCGAGCTGGCTAATAGAAATGCAGAAAGACAGCGCCAGGCCACGTGAGTGGGCAGAAGGATGGCAGATGGGCTCCTGCGTGGACAACTGGAAGATGAGGAATTTAGGGAGAAGCGATCCAAACCAATCTCCCAAGACTACGGGGATTTGAACTGTCCACTCCAGCAAAATGAAGAGATTTGACAGTCAATACACACCTTTGTCTCATGTAGATATTCATAATCACCCTGCATCTAAAAGATCAGCCTTCCATCGGGCCAACTGAAAAGGAACATCTATAAAGAGGTCATTAAAAGCAGAAAACAATACGCCGTTCAAACTGACAGCCGCGGTTCGCTTAATGCTGGAATATCCCGAGTCGTGTTTCCTCAGCATTCTTACGCCGCAGCCATAATGTGGGGGAAGGTGCAGGTGAAATCACTGCTAGGCGAGAACTGTTTATCAAACGTCAGGATTCCTCAGCCCAAGGGAGTGAGAATTTATAAACCCACAGGGCCATAGGACAGGTCACGCTGGTGCTCAACTTGGTTAGCATTTACCATGTGAAACATTAGGACAGAGAGCTATTTAAAACCTAAATCAAGGCCCGGCAAGGCGGCTTGGGAAATAAAGGTGCTTGCGGCCAAGCCTTCCAGCCTGGGATCAATCTCCTGGAACCACATGGTGGAAGGAGAAGATTGGCTCTGCCAAGTTGTCCTCTGACCTCCACGTGTGCAACATGCCACCCATATGCCCATATACACACACATATGAAATAAATAAATAAACAAATGTTTTTTTAAAAACCTTAAACCTAAATCAATTTAGGTCCAACAACCATTAGGTAGCAAGTACCCAAAACTCAAGGCAGCATAATATTTTTTATATGTGTATGTATATATTTTATATATGTTGTGTATATATATAGCTGAATTTCATTATGTATGTTATATAAATATAATACTAATATTATAAATACATAAAATTTTATATAAATATTACATAAATTTCAGTTACTTTTCTGTAAAACTTGATAGGCATGGAAAAATTATTTATATAACTAAAAGCTAGGTATGTGTCAAGAGCTGTTTACATCCTGGGGCACACATAGACACAGAAGGGGGAAAATGCTTTTATGATTGTAGTCATAATTTGCAGATATGCCCAAAATGTCATAGCATTTGAAACTGAATGAATGGAATGTATGCCCTGGCAATGCTGAAGCACGCATGGGCAGCCCGTATGTGGCGGTTCTGTTGAACTTGTCCATTCTGGGTTTCATGGTCTAAGTTGATGAGGACAACTGACCAGGTCTCTTCCTCTAGAGGGCACCAGACCTCATTACAGATGGTTGTGAGCCACCACGTGGTTGCTGGGAATTGAACTCAAGACCTTTGGAAGAGCAGCCAGTGATCTTAACCGCTGAAACCATAGCATTTGCCGTTGCATAAAACCATCTTGAGAGTCAGACAAGCCTGATTCGGCTCAGGAGACAGAGGGTAATGGCCATCAGTCAAACATTACCGGACTGGACCGGGCCGAGGTTCCCTTGGGTATCTATTCCACAGATGCCTCTGCAGTTCCACCCTTGAAAGTTCCCTCCTTGGACACCCAATATACCCCAAGAGGGCAGTCCTAGCACCTATTCTAACCCTAGCTTGCCTACTTTAATCCTCATCCAAGCCCAATCTCTCCTGTTCATTGAGTCGCACCCCAACCCCCCCCCCAGCCTTGTTTCAAGGCTTGTTTGGTACAGTGATAAACAAGTCCCAGGGCCCTGCTCGTAGGAACCCCAAGTGGGAGCAGCTGATGCCTAAACACAAGCATTCCGACAAAGTCATTTCAAAGAATGGTTTAAAAAAAAAAAAGCCAAAACCGTGGTACAGTGAGTTTATAGGACTGTGGTACAGCATTTTCAGTGAAGAGGTGAAGGCAATTTTTCCTCAGGAGACATTTGAGTAATAGAGGGACAGAAGTATAGCTACCTGAAAGGCTACAGGTGCTGACGTGGAGGGGGACGTGGGAGGTGAAGGAGGTGGGGGTGTGGGAGGGTAGAGGCCCCAGGTGAAGACAAGTGTGTGTGCGCACACACATGAGTGCGTTTGTGCAAGCGTGCGTGCATGCATGCGTGTGTGTGTGTGTGTGTGTGTGTGTGTGGTGTACACATGAGTGTGTTTGTGCAAGCAAGCGTGCGTGCAAGCGTGTGTGTGTGTGTGTGTGTGTGTGTGTGGCGTGTTCAGGCATACAGGTGGAGTCACTCAGGCCCACATGACTGAGAGTCCAGTGTGAAGGGACACACTGCAGCACGCTTTTAGCCATGAGGCGAGGAGGAAGCTCGGTGTTGGTTCTGAAAGCATTAGGAACCCAGAGACTTTTTAGGATGTTTTTGCTAAGGGCCGGTTTGTGTGTCAGGGGTCTGAGAGTCAAAGTGCACAGTGAGATCTGGGCCCCCTCTGCTTTCTCCACCCAGGCTCTCTGGCTGTTACTCCTTCCAATTCCTCTCTAGACCGAAGTGTGCCCCTAATTTCATACTGTGTCTCTCACAGGGTCGGGTTAATGTTGCATAAACCTCATTGTAGCATTTGTGTTGTAGGACATATACAAATTCTCTTGTTTTCCCCCCTTCGATAAAAGAGTTAACCCAAACGCATGTTGCTGCAGGTTTTAAAGATCAGTTTGATCGGCCACAGAAAACGCATTTTGGCATCTCTGGGAGACAGGCTGCATGAGGAACCCCCACAGAAGCCCCCTCGCTCCATCACCCTCAGGGTAAGTGCCGCCATGTCCGTCTTGCTCTCCTCCCTTCTCCTCAAAAAGGATATTGTGCAGTAAAATGGCTGAAGCCATGGAGGAGGAAATGCATCCTCATCGCTTACCTTATCAATCTCCCTTTTGATTGTGTCTGGTTTTCTCAATAAATAATGCAGAGATTTAGAACTACATTGTAAGGGAATTCAGTTTGCCTAGCGACCATCTTCTAAAGACCACCCCTTCATTCCCAGACTCCCACTCCCAAGAGAAAGGAAATGAGTTTTCTGTCAGACTCAAACCCACAGAAAAGAAATCGATCAGGAACGTCAGTTAAGTAAGAATCAATTTTAAATTAACCTCAGGGTCCTCCTGTTTTTCAAGAAATGAAAAATGACCATTTTTTTAACCCACTTCAAAAAATTTAAGAAGATAGACTCTAAAATTTTATTTAATAAACTAACAATTGTTTCCTTCAGCTATGTTTTTAGAAACCTGGGGTAAAGAAACTAGAGAGAAACCTGTCAGAGGTCAGAACAAAGAGGGAAAGTGAGAAGGAAGGGGCCCAAAGAAATCAAGAGGTTGAGGCAGAGAGTGTAGCCACAGGCCCCGCCTCCCAGGAAGCCCACTGAGCTCTTCCAAAGTCCGTTAGAAAGCCAAGGTCTCCTTTGACAAGCTCAGTTCAGCACTCATTTGCATCTCATTCCTATGCAAATGAACAGGAGCATAGGCCTCCATGGATAAATGGAGGGGGATAAATGGCCCTGATAGGGGACTTAGGTGAACTGCAGGCCACAGTCAGTGTGACAGGGCACTGGGCGGGACAGAACCTTCCAGAATGGTGAGTCTGATTTAGTTTAGAAGAGGAAATGGGGTCCATGAGATGCAGGAATCCACAAGAGGAACTGAGTACCAAGGGCGTCAGGATGAGCTAAGATAGATGTAGGCTACTTCAGGGTTTGAGGAATAAGGAAAGCGGAGGTAAGATGCATATTTATCCCTCCAAAAGAGGCCTCCAATCCATCAGAACAATTAAGGGCTCATTATCTTGCTTCCCTCTTACTTCGTGGGAAGAGGGGTGGCTCCAAGCACCACCCGTGTAAGCTCCCGTAAGAGGTCTCAGAGGAGCCATTTCCAGTTTACGCAGCTCTCTGGCCTTTCCCTTCTGAACCTCTCACCCTGACTCCCAAGAAGAGACTTATGGAAATAATAAATTAAAGACTGGAGGGGGCAGGGCGGGGAGGGTTTCTAGCCAAAGTGGGTCTAACTCTGCCAGAGAAGTCAGGGGAAGAGGTGGCCTGCAGAATCTCATGGCTCCCATGTTCCTGTGGCTTGAAAGGCCAGAGTGGCAGCCACTGCCATCCTTCACCCTGCTCTGGCCGGTCTTCAGCTAGGGTTGCTGCAGCTAGGGTTGCTGCTAGGGCTGTCTTTGCTGTTGGAAAAGCATCCTCCGTCATTTCTACGCATTGCTCTGCAGTCTGTACGTCGTGTGATATGCTATGTTGCCATACTGTGTCCACTCCCCAGCCCTCTTGTCACACCACACTTCGGTAGAGAGGGTCAAGACCTACCTAGTCCCACGTTAGCGGCTTGTAAAACGGCATCCACCGCAGTGAGGATGCTCTGCCCACAGTCTCTTCCCCCCCCCCAAACACACGAGAATGACGGGGTGCCCCGCAGAGATGAACCTCTGCTTTCCGAGAGAGATCATCCGTAGTACTGG